CAAGATTTTTTTCCAGCTTTAATTTTGCTGAATATAGTAAAAAACTTAATAAGTGAAAGTGAGTGAAAAAATAAAGTGAAAACTGCCTTGCTCACATGCCATGGTAAAATCATCCCAAAATCTTTGATAAAATGCCAGCGACTTTGGGTCCTCCCTTAGAACAATTAATTGAGATGCTCCAGGGATGGTATTTTTTTTCTCATGTCCTAGTTAAATTTTAATGAGTGGACTGAGAAAGCACTCAGGTATACTATTTGAACTTTTACCTCCTTTTCTGATGCTATCAGCACTGCTTTCTTTGGATGTAAGGTGAATCATTACTGTGGAAAGAGAGGAAGTCAAAACTATTTACCTTCTTAAACCACCAAAAATTATTCTGGGGAAGGATAAAGGTGTAAAGAGATAATTATTGAAGGTGACTGTATGTATTTTTATTGCATTTTGGGAGCAAAAGCAAGGTTTAGTCCTTCTTTAGACTTAAGTCTCACTCAGACCTCTGACAATGGGAGTGTTTGTGGTAACAAGAAGGAAGTAACCCCTGGTGAGTGATAGATATGACATTGCATCCTGAGAGTCCTGGGGAGTGGGGGGTGGATATTCTAGCGGGATGGTTTCATTTCATCACAACTTGGTGCTCATGTTGACTGGGTGAGCACATGCTATGATTGAGTTACCAAACATTAAGTTCCGATTTATTTTTAAGTATTTCAGGTTGTTGAACTGTACCTGATTTAAGAAAAATTGAAACCAACAGAATTTTTTTCTAAAACTTCCATTATAGTATCTTTACTGTGAGGACTGGGGAAGGAATAGTAAGAGGAGAGTTTGTCACAAAAGTATATGATATGACAATACCATTATGGGGAAATGCTTTTATGTTGCAATTTTTCAAGTCAGAGCTTAAGAAACTGTGTCTTTAAAGATTAACTTTGCTTTTTTTCTTAAGGTTAAATATTTTTTCTTCAGTGCTCACTGAGAGCACAAGCAAATGATTACATTTTTGGTGTGATTGAATTATTTGATTAAAATAAAGAAAAAGTGTATTTTACTTAAACATTTTTAAGTATTTTTTTTTTTTTTGCTTAGTACAGCACATTCTTTTCTCAGTTTCCATGTCCTGAATTATTTCTGCATCATTAAGTTTAGCTGAGGAGCCAAAAGTGTCATTGCAGGGGGTTTCTGGGGTGTCACATCGAAGAAAAGAGATATTTAGAATAAGATGTCATCTTGGTCTGTTACTTGAGTGTTAGTCCAAGAAGTTATGTGAGCAGAGAAACATCAGTCTGGCTGGACATCTGTCTTTCCCACTGTGTAGTAGAATCCCTGTGCAGAATCTTTAGTTGGGGATGGCCATGGCCTCATTTCATCAGGTGTGCAGAGAGTCTCTAGAAGTTATGTGAGTCTTTCTTCACACATTGCTCAAAATCACATGAAGACTCAAAAAATATGTCCTCCAAAATTATTCTAGCCCTGGTCAGCATTATGAGGTAGGAAATTTCCTAATTGCTGTCTCTCTCTTTTATTGAAACACTTTTACCTATTGTTGGTACTATTTTTTGTCCCTTGTGCTCCCATCTTTGCCCTACTCACAGCTGCTACCTATGTATGGTATCTTTGCGATAACTTCTTCAAGCCACTCTATTATGCATTTTTTCTGGACAAAGAAATCACTAAACTGATATATTTTTCTTATTAACAAGGTATCTATTTTTTTTGCAATATTTGCTACATCTCCTCAGCTTTCTTAAGTCTTTTGTAAAAGGGAGGAAGTTGAAGTTGAAAATCTTCTTTTCAGGGGTGTCTGGGTGGCTCAGTTGGTTAAGGAGCCAACTCTTGATTCTGGCTCAGGTTATGATCTCGGGGTCCTGGGATGGAGACTGATGTTGGGCTCTGCACTCAGTGGGGAGTCTGCTTGAGGATTCTCTCTCCCTCTCTCTCTGCCCCTCCCCCTGCTTGTGCATGCATACATGTGCACATGCTCTCTCTTTCAAATAAATAAATATTTAAAAGGAAAACTTCCCATCAAAAACTTGATTGGGGCATTCTAGTATGGCTATTTTGTTTGATTTTTGGAGAAAAAAATTCCCAGAATATTTCTTGAATCTTACCACTCATCTTTAAAGAAAACAATCTGTATTCTAAAGCTGAAAAGAAGTGTCAAGTTTTTCCCTTTCCTTAGAACTTTTCAAATAGGAAATGTCTTTCTCAGGGTTTCACTGGATACAATGAATGGGAGGTGGTATTGGGGGTAACTGAGTGATGAGTGGTACAGAAATATTGATTAAGCTTGGAAATCAAACCAATCAGAAATAGTCATTTTCCTTACTTTAATCCTTTTGTATCTTTTAACTTTAATCATTTTATATCTTTCTTACTCTTTTTTTTAAGGTTTGTTTGTTTATTTATTTATTTATTTATTTATTTGACAGAGATTGACAGAGAGAGATCATAAGTAGGCAGAGAGGCAGGCAGAGAGAGAGAGGAAGGGAAGCAGGCTCCCTGCCGAGCAGAGAACCGGATGTGGGGCTTGATCCCAGGACTCTGGGATCATGACCTGAGCTGAAGGCAGAGGCTTTAACCCACTGAGCTACCCAGGCACTCCATACTCTTTTTTTTTTTTAAGTTTTATTTATTTGTGAGAGAGGGAAAGAGAGAGAGAGAGAGAGAAAGCGTGCATGCATAGGGTGGAGGGGCAGAAGGAGAGAATCCCCAAGCAGGCTCCCTGCCAAGTTCCAAGCTGATCCCACAACCCATGAGATGATGACCTGAGCTGAAACCAAGGGTTGGACACTTAACCTACTGAGTTACCCAGGTGCTCCTCGTTCTTACTCCTTGAAACCATGATGTCAGATGAAAGTATGTTATGTGATGTTAAAATTTAGCTCCATAAAAAAAAACAGATAATTCCATCTTACCTTTATCTTTATATATATTCATCTTAAAATATTTACATATTTTAACAACAAGACTTCTCAGAAATTACTTTTTATGGGTCAGGAATCTTTAGCACCTTCCACATTCATATTCGTAGCTTTTGATTCAGCCTATATGTCAGCAGGTAGCAAATATAGTTAGTTTGATCCACTGATCTGTGCCTACAAACTCTAATGACATGACATTTAATAGAAATTACTCGTAGGGCCTTTTTTTTTTTTTTTTTGGATGCTGTTGCTAAATTGTGGTGTGACCACTTCAGTTAGAACATACTTCAGACTTACGAAAATTCTCATACCCTTGTTAGTGCTGTGGAAAATTTAAAGAACAACAGAAGTAGGCTTGATGCTGGTTAGAATGTGATTCCTCCTGAGAGTATTTGGAATTTGCTGTGGGGTAATGAAAACTCCAACCACTACTCCAGTTCAACAAGTTTCCCTACTGGCTGGTGGGATTTTCTCACTATTTCCAGATTGCAGAGGGAAATAGGAAATAATGGAACCAAAGCATGAAACTAAAGGCTTATCTTTTGTCTGGTTGTCAGATTCAAAATAATTGAGTTGCCTGAGCTGTTAGCACCAGAGCTGGCAGAGAGGATGGACAGTCTTCTGACTCACTCTGCATCTGAACAAGGAAGTTCTGCTCCAGTAAGAAGCCTATCGGGCATGTCAGGATGAGCTTTTCCCATGTTCAGAAGCTCCTTGCACTTGGGATAGAAAAGGAACGCTACTCAGCACTACCTAGTGCTATTGAAGATAGTGAAAACAGCAATACAGTCCCCCCACCCCCATCCATTCCACAGGGCCTAAGTGTCCCACCTTTAGTGCCGTTGCTTCTAGTTAGTGTCATTGGCAATATGCAAATAGATTGAGAGCCAAATACTTTTTTGTTTATGGACTAATAGATTGGATTATTTTGCTCTTAGAAAGAGCTCTGCAGGAAGGGAACACACACAGGAGAGGTATATTTTGCTTGTGGAGTGAAAGGGAAAGGCCAAAACATGGGATGCTATAAAACAGGTGTCTGCCCTTTGTATGTAGTCAGAGTGGGGAATGGGCAGCCTGCGAGTACCCCAGGGAGCCCGTTTTTAGAATGAGTGATTCCCAATCATTTCTCTGCTCTGATACATCACGGAAGTATCATGTTCCTCACCTATAACAAGGACTTCCTTATAACACTTACAGAAGTGGTTCTGAGCTGGGGTATAATTGAGTGTCTGTCAGATTTTGGGAAAGGATGTAATTTGGAAAAATCCTGTGTTAATGAAATAGACGAGATTACGTAATTGTGGGCATCATGTATATAGAGCAGTAACTTCTGAGACAAAGTTTGATTTCCTATGGTTTCATCAACATGGGGAATGGGTAGACTGAATCAGAGGTGTTTGTTGGTTTTGCTTCCATCGGTCTTTAAATTAGTTTGTCCTGCTGGAGTCAAGGATCCTTCAGTGGCTTGACATGATATCCTTAGAAAGGATAGTGGTGCCATAACTGTACACTTTTTCTAAACTTGTGCTGCAAATTGGTCTCTGATATATGCAAGATCAGGGAGAATGCAGAACAAAGGAAGGATACAGGAGAGTTGAGGATACTAAGGTGGAAATAAATCTGTGCAGAAGAGAAGAGAGTTGATAAAATGTGAGTAGAGTCAGAGAAGCTAGCAGGAGGTGAATTGGATCTGATAAGCATGTGTGTATTATGTAGATGTATTTATGATACACCATGAGTTCTCACTAATTAGTACCTTCACTAATCATTTTTTTTTCAGTCTTCAAATATTTTTTATTGGAAGACCATGCATTGTCTTCCTTTATTGTATTTCAAATCACTGTACATTTACTTTTGTGAAAACACTGCCTGCATTTTCTAATACAAAAAAACCCCTAAAAATTGTTTCAGGGATGTAGAGAAATATCCAACATATATAGCGAAAAAGTGCACCATAATTACTGCTGTACTGCAGTCATTTCTGCATTTCCCAGGTTTCTTAAATAACTATCTTGTCTGATAACACACAATATAAAGAGAAGTTATGAAAAACAGACATTTACATATACTTCTAAAGTCTTACTGAGAACATCCTGGTGGCATTGGATAACCAATCATAGGCGCAGCTGCAGTAGCAGGATATGCATATGCCTGTGGGTTCATACCATTGTGCATATTTGGAACGTTACTCCCATATTGCTGAGTGCTATTGTAACCATTCTGGTAAGTCCCTGTTGGATTACCAGTCCTAAAACTGGTCTGTATACCAGCAGACACAAAATTACTTCCAAAGCTCCCATTGGTGTAATTTGCAGCACTGTAAACACCATTCTGAGTTTTTGCCCCCAAATCTCTCTTAAGCAGACTAGAGTAACCTCTGTCATAATTTCCCCTGTCTCTAAAAGTATTAAATCCACCCCTTTTGCCCGCAGAGTATCTGTCCTGACGGTCATCCTTCATGCCTCCTCTACCCCTGGAACAACCTGAACCTCTGTCTTTGACCAACTGAAGCAACTTGGGATTAATTGCTTGATTAGCTTCCCGAAGCACAGTGATAAGTTCTCTCACTTGCTTTATGTTATTAGGTATAAAGAAAGTGTATGCTGTGCCTGTTTTGGTACTGTGAGCAGTTCTTCCAAGTCGATGAATATAATCCTCTGAGGATTAGGGTAGTCATAATTGATGACAAATTTCACATCTTCCACTTCTAGCCCTCTGGAAGTCATATCTGTAGCAATCAGAATAGGTGCTTTTCCATGTTTGAATTCATTTAGAACCCAGTCACTCTCCTGTTGACTCTTGTCACCATGGATACCCATGGTGGGCCACCCATCTCTCCTCATTTTTCTAGTAAGCTCATCACATCTTCTTTTGGTTTCACCAAAAACAATGGTTTTATTCTCCTTCTCACTCATTATCTCTTCCATTAGATGAATAAGATTTTCATCCTTTTCTACATCATGACATACATCCACAATCTGAAGAATGTTATGGTTTGCACTCAGTTCTAGTGCACCAATGTTTATATGAATGTAGTCTTTCAGGAAATCTTTAGCAAGCTGTCTTACTTCTTTTGGCCAAGTTGCACTCCACATTAGGGTTTGCCTATCAGGTCTTATCTGATCCACAGTCTTCCTTATTTGGGGTTCAAAGCCCATATCAAGCATTCTATCTGCTTCATCAAGGACAAGGTAGGTAGTTCTTCTCAGATTGGTTTTCCCACATTCTAAAAAGTCAATCAGTCTTCCAGGTGTTGCAATACAAATTTCCCACCTCTCTCCAAATCATGAATCTGTGGTCCCTTGGGAGCACCACCATAGATGCAAGTGGAATTCAGTCGACATGCTCTATAGTATTTGGCAGCTACTTGCTGTACCTGTTGGGCCAGTTCCTGAGTTGGTGCCAGCACCAAGCAGATAGGCCCATCACCTCTCTCTAGGAATGGGTGATGGTTGATGTGGATGATAGCAGGCAGCAAGTAAGACAATATTTTCCCAGATCCAGTCTGTGCTATTCCAACCATATCCAATCCACTTAGAGCAACGGGCCATCCCTGAGCCTGAATAGCAGTGGGTTCAGTAAAATTCTGTCTCGTAATCACATCCATGACATTTGCAGGGAAGTTTGCTTCATAAAAATTCAGAACTGGCTTTGGGCAGTTGTGCCCTCTAACTGTAATTTCCTTACTCCTTCTGTATGTCTCCACCTCTTGTGCTGTTCACCTAGCCAAATCAGGGTGTTCTTGATAAAAATTCTTCTCAAATGTGGGCAGCTCATCGAAATTCCACTTCTTTTTAACTAGTTTCTCCCCAGGGTTTCCAAATTTCTTTCCAGATAGGGGCCCTGCCCTACTTCCCCCAAACCGAGGTGCATCAAACCCTCAATCCTGGTGCGGTCTTGGTCACCCGACATGGTGTCAATGGATGCGGTTGGTGGGGAACAAAGTGGAGAGAATCAGGTGTGACAAGTTGCTGCAGGTGGCTTTGGCAGTGGCAAAGCCTTGCAGGGATGGCAGTGGTGGAGGGGCAGTGATGACAGGAGCTGGAGCTGCTCGACAAGAGACATGTGGAAATGAATGAGTTTACCTTCACTAATCTTATGGTTGCCCAAATACCAATAGGTATTTACTGAGCACCTACTATGTGCGAGGCATTATTCTGGGTGCTAAAGATAAAGCAGTAAATGAAGTAACAGAATTCCTGCCTTCAAGGAGATCACGGTCTAGTAAAAGATTCTCCAGCTTTCATTAAGTTCGAAGTGCCTGTTTATGGTAAAGAAGTTTAAATGGGAGATGCTTTGGGTAAAACATATTATTTGTCTTGGCAAAACATTCTTGAGAAGAGGTTAGGACAGTGGGGAAAAAGAAAGCATTGAATAACATTCTATCCATTTCTACCTTTCTGTCCAGTCATAGATATAAATGACAGTTCTGGCCCGTTTTCACCCTCACATAGCTCTCTGGAATTCTTTCCCATTCTCTGAACATGAGAGAAATGAGGAGGTTATTTGGAAAGTCATTGGTTTGAGGAGTTGTCCTGCTACAGTTACCAGAGAATTCTCAAATTTCATCTGCAGAGACTGCAAGGCATCAGGGGCAAACACACTATGAGGAGTCAATTGGTGACCAGACCCCACGGGTGAGAAGCATATGGAAAGTAAAATCATGACTTGGTTCTTTAAAAAGAATAGGTTTTGGGTATTTTAAATCTGACTCTAAATACAAAGCTAGCATCAGTGGCCGTTTTCAGGAAAACCAAAGGAAGCCAGCATTCCCCAATGTGTTAGGGAGACTGTGTGGCCTCAAGGAATGAAGTGAGAAGTTCATTCTGTCTTCTTTCTCAAACACCCGCCTGGAGCCCAGCAGAATTCTGGCTGTGCATCCTGTCCTTGGTATACTGCCGAAGGGATTAGCATGTCACTGTGGACTCTTTCTCTGGCCCAGGAGAATACCAGAGAAAAATCAGAGCGAAGTTCTACCTGGGATTCGGTGAGTGGGGGAAATACTCTTTATCAATAGAGAGTGTAAGAAGCCCTGATGCACAGCTCACCACTCAAAATGTGGTCCTGGGTACTTGGGAACATGCAGATCTCAGATCCCCACAACCACCCCAGAATCAGGAGATTAAATTTGGAGCACTGGCCTAGGTAATGCATTTTCGTGCCTCTCTTTCAGTACGCCTCACTCCCACTGTCTCTTGTTCCTCATAGGCTACCCTCAGGAATGGTGTTGGTGGGTCCTGTTTGAGGCAATAGGCCACAACACTCAGTTCTTTACTAAACCGGGACTCCAAACCCAGAAGAGTCTGAATCACAAAGAACAAAGAAATGGTCTCATTTCACACAGATCTAGAGTCTTTGCTGGTTAAACCTCAGGAAGGCCACAAAAAAGCCCCTAGACATTTTAGGGTGTGAAGTTTGAATCTGTACTTCCTGACATCTGTTTGGCTGGATGACCTTCAATTTACCAAAATATGGAAACTTCATTATGGCATTCTACCCATATAATGAGGAAAACGCTGGTGTTTGTCTCAACCCTAAGCCCCTAAAGCAATACTATCCCCAACCACACTTTCCTATATAGCATTTTACACAAAAAAATAAACCAAGATATTTGTTCCCTGGAAGTTAATATAAATGAAGTTTCCTTCTTATAAAATAGGAACAATATTCAGTCCCTTTGATTATCACAAATCTCTTGAGTAGGAGTCAAAACTTTTCAGTTAAGGTTTTATCCAGCTGAAGACATTTCCTCCTCTTCAGTGTATATCCCACCTGTTGGTAGTTGGCCAAGTATACGAGTAGTGAGAACATTGTGAGAACTCATGGCGTATCTTATATACAGTCCTGCCCTTTTAGTTCTTTGTGGGTGAAAGGTAGAGCCACCCTGGCAACTTTCATGCTATAATTGTGTTTCTTGGGTTTTCAGAAGGAAAGAAATAGTGAGAGAACAAGAGTGAAATGAGAAACGTGAGAGTGAGAAACAGAGTGAATGAGCTGAATAAAGTCCCTGTGAGCCCCAACCACATCTCTTGGTGGTAGTGATGCGAGCACAGATCAGTGATTCCTTGCAGAACGTGGTCTCAAAAGGAGTCTGTTATGTGCAAGGATGACGCAGCTTTCTCGGGCTGGTTTCAAACTATACAATTGTGATATTCACACATACCTTCAGTCAGTAAGGACACACACCAATATATCAATATTTTGTATCATTGACTACTTTTCCTGTGTCTATCAACTTTACCGTCTCAATCTCTTTGTGGCAAGAATGAACCTATGTCTCCCACTCAAGAATAATTGATGCGATTTTTTTTTTTTTTTTTTTTAGAAGTAGACCAAGGTAGAGAAGCATGAGACCTTGGTATTGCTTGGTCTATTTTGGGATTAGAGTCTTCAGAATCCTCTCTATTCTACTCCTACATTCTTGGATTTTTTTTTTTTTAACATAGGTTTGGTAAATTTCATGTGCACGTGTGGGCATTTTTTCATTCCTGAGTTTTTGGCTCAATGGAGAAGTCAGTTGAGGAGCCAAATTACCAGAGAGGCTTACCATTTTTGTCATAGGAGTTTGTTTATTTCGTGATTGGGGCCCAAAGAGAAAAAGCTTAGAAATGCCCTCAAAAAATCAGATTTAGCTGATTGCTAGTTTATGCAAATCAGTTTGAAAACTTTGGATAAGCACTATTTAGACAATAAAGGCAACAAAACTCTATTCAGTTGTGTCTACTCTTATACCTGACTCCCAGACTGACCGCTTTCACAGATCCTTTCAATCCTTCCAGGAACCTGAGGAGTGAACATAATAAAAAAAGAATTTCACTTAGTTACCATCTGAAAACAAGAACAGCAATGTTCATGTTTTCAGATGGTAGCTAAGTGGTAACATCGACTCATATATTTTTATTCAAGTAAATACCCCACAGACATCTTGTTGGCATATTTTATTCTGGGGGATTGTTAGAACTGAAATTAGCCTAATGACTTAGAGACATGACTTTTATATATGTCTCTTGAATTGAAGTTTTGGTACTAAATGCCCTGAAATGATTTGACTATAGATATTCATGAAAATTTGCTCCTTATTGCTCATCAGAAAGACAGTCTTGGTCTCCTTTCTTTCCCCTTTCCCAACCAGATTAACTGAGGAAACATTTTAAGAAGTATTTAGTTTTAGTTAGGAAGTAACATTACTAAACAAGTTTTGCTAGGTGTTGTATAATCACTGAAAGGCCTATTTGTTCAGGAAGCAGGAATTAGCACCTCTACTTGAGTGAATTAAAAAAAAAATGGTACAAGGCCTTAAATAACTAGAAATGATGGAGTTTGGTTAAGCCCTTAGGCAGAAAAGGAGAGGTCTGGAGGGAGAGCAACCTTGAGCTGGCAAGCATCATGAACAATTGCTAGCCCAGGGTAAGCTAAGCATCTTTTTATCTTTTATCTTGGCCTAGTGAAATAGTAGCACAATTCAATCTAATCTGCCTCCTTCACTCCTTCACTCCAAAGACCAAATAATTTATTCAAGAAAAAAAATCCATTCAGGCCAGCCATTACACATGGCTCTACAGTTCTTGGAAATAAACCAACTCAGCTTTGGAAAGAGAAAACTAATCCAACTGACCACTTGAGGGAGGTGGTGGGTTATCTTATTTGGAAAAAGGAACCCAGTTCATTTTTAATAATGTGTAATTTTAAGAACTTTGAAAATCTGTGACCTGTGGAGAAGAGATCACAAGAACCCAGACAATGGCTTTTTCTCTACTTGGATCCATTCTCTAATTTTCCTATTAAAATAAGGGGAATAAAATAGATTTATTAAACACTTGTTATGGTCTAGTTGATGGATCACTTTAAAAAGAAAGACGGGGTGAAGTATGGGTAGTTTATTTTCACAAATCAGTTTTAGTTTTTTCCTATGAAATAGATGAACGAGAAGCCCATTAAAATGGTTGTTACAATTCTTCTTTTTAATTGTTTACTTTATTAAGGTGACAATACCTGACACATTGATATATGAACAGTGTTCGCTTGCCTGACATGAACATAAATTATAACATGAGAATGTGATGATCCATCAACATTGCATTCACTCACCCAGATTAAATGTAGAATTTGGAAAGAAATCAAAATTAAAGTTACATTTACTTAGACTCCCAACAGCTGTTTCTTCTTGTTTAAGGGTGGCTGAAGAAAAGTTAGCTGAGATGAAGGGTAAAATAGGTCAATTCCAGCAAAGCCATTGTACTTCATCAGAGCCAAGGGAAATTAAATCATTAAAGCCAGCCCTAGCTGTAAACACCATCCGTTCACTGAATTTCTTTTTTCCCAGGTATGATAGGATATGCTTAAGTGTGGTTCATTGCTTATGGATTGAATGGTGGCATTATAAAATCAAACTTTTCAAATTATAGAAACAGAAATTTTAAATTAATATTTTATTTCTTGATAAATTTAATACCAATATATATATACTGTAGAGTCAAATAGTATAAAATATATAACAAAAAACAGCAGTATTCTGCCCTACCACTTGTCATCCCAACTCCTGCAGCACAAACAAAACCACTTCCAGTTTGTTTAGCTATTTCTTCTGGCCTATCACTCCAAATGTCTAAATAACATGTTTATACTGTTCTTTCTTATATGTGTGGAGTAAACCTCAGATACATTCTATTGATTCCACTTATAGGAGAAAGGAATCCAGCCCTAGCCACCATCCCCATACTACTTGCCATGTATTTCCTTATGCTCTAAATACAGCTCAGTCATCATTTTAATTTAACCTATGTTCCGTGTTAACTTGATTATGATTAAATAAATGCTGTATACAGCTGAGCTTAGCAGGGTGATTTGATCTCTCTTTTTCCTAATGAAATTGTTTTCCTAA